GTAAATGTTTAGTACGCTTGAGACCCTCAGTTCAGTTCTCAGCATGGAAGGAAAACAAAAATCAACCACACAACCCAAATTAAGATTATACTGACTATTTTCACATACATTTCCTTGTATCCTCACCTAGTTTTTGGGAATATGTTAATGTAGTACTCAGTTATGTCGAAACACATTACATAATTTGTCAATCTGAGCTCCTGGAGGAAAATCAAGTATCAGTATAGATGAGATGATCATATATCGATAAACACACAGGCAGACACGAACCCAGGTGAGCTTCTAAGGCCGGCGGTTCTCTGGCCAAGGGAAAATGGCAAAACCAACATGGTACAACACGGTCCCGCCTGGAAGGGGACAGCGGTCCGACTAGCTGGAAGCCCGTGGCCTCTGGACCAGAACCAGCGAGCCCCGGGGCTCTAGCTAATCCCACCCCCGCAGCGGTGGGAGCACCTCCGCGCGCCGCCCCGGGCCTCCGCCCTTTCCCCAGCTGTCCTACGCTGCCCGGCCCCGTGGTTCGGACCGGGGAGGGCGCCGCCCAGGGCCCCGGGCCACCGCGTGAGAGGCGGGCCCTTCTCTAATTCTCCGCTCCCGCCTTCCGATCCCGTCCCTCCCAGCACTGCGATCTTTTCACTCGTCCCCCAGCTGCTTCCCGGGTCTTGGTGCGCGTCCTCCCCAGCCAGACATAGTGGCGTCCACGCAAGTTGACGGAGTGAGGAGGAGCCGGAACCGAGGACTGGCGGGCGCGGAGGGCGCGGGGCGGGGCGGGGCCGCGCCTGGGCGGGGCAGGGCGGGGCGTCGGGCTGCGGTCGAGCCTGCTGCGGTCGAGCCGGCCGCACTGCTCCTCCGAGGCAGTGCTCGCCGGCTTCTCCCGCCGCCGCGCTCCCTGGCCGCCCGCCCGTCCGCGCTGCCGTTAGGGGGCGCCCGCGCTCGACGCGCCGCAGCCGTGCTGGGAAGGCGCCGCCCGCGCCTGGCCGCTGGGGCCGCAACTCCGGGCTCGGCTCAGTCGTTCCCGTGCCGCCGCCGCCGCCGCCGCCGCCGCCGCCGCCGCCTGGGCGAGCTCTCTGTCCCTGCGCTCGAGCTCCCGGGCCGCCGGCATCTCCCGCCCGGCCGCCACCTTCGCGCAGTGAGTGGGGCGGGCGCGGGCTGCGGGGCGCGGGAAGGCCGCCAGGGGGTTGGCGCGGCCCGGCCGGCCCCGAGGCTTCCCCGGCGCCCTCCGAGCGAGGCCCGGCCCGGTGTGCGCCTCGCGCCTCGCGGTGGGGGTGCGCAGCCGACACGGCTCGCCCGGGTCCCAGGCAGCGGCAGGGCTTTCGCGCCCCGCCCGGGACCTTTTGCTCCGCGTCCCGGCGGCAGCTGCTCGCGCTCCGCTCCCTGCGCCGGCGTTTCCGGGCTCCCCGTCAGCCGCTAGACTGCCGTGCGCTGGGAGCCCCTGCCGCACCTGCCGGGCGCGCGGCGGAGGCGCCCGGGCTGAGCCGGGCCGCGGGCCCCCGCTGTAGCGACCGCGTTTCTGTCCGGTGCAGCAGTCCCCGAGCGAGGCGATGCGCCACTTCTAGGATCTTGTGATAGCAGAGGTTTGGTGGTAAGCACACCTGAAGTGACCGACTTGCCGAGAGTGTTGGGGTGGCCCGCGTATCTCTGTGGCGCCCCCGCACGCTCATTTTTATTCAGGTCACAGATGCCCGGGTACCTGATGGATCTAGGGTAGGGGAGAAGCTGGGATAGCGCAGGCCTGCGCCCAAGACTGAGGATGTTTTCAAACGCCAAGAAAAGGAAGATAGTATTTTTGTGGGTAGGATTAGTAAGTTGTAAGAACTTGTTCTTTGGTTGAAAGCCAAACCAAGTTCATACGGCTACAGTACTTGATTTTGTCGTGATGCTTGAGATTTGAAGGACTGAGTGGTCAGCATAGCCTTAGATGCCATTCCTGCTAAGTTTTGCAACTTGAGTTTTCATCAATCATTTTTTTTGTTTTTTTGGTACCGGGGTTCGAACTCGGGTCCTTGCACTTGGGAGGCAGGTGGGAGAACCACTGAGCTAAATTCCCGGCCCCATCCATCATATTTTAATGGAAGCATTCCTACATAAATTTCTAGGGTGACGCCTATGAGCCCCTCAGTGTCTTAGATTTTTATGTTTGGCATCTCTTGAAATAGGACGCCCGTTTTTCTGTGCACTCAGCTTTACCTTGGAGATAATCCTGAGTCATGCTTTAGAGAAGTTCCTCCTGAGATGGAGCACTCGGAGGTCTGTGGACGCTGTGAACGCAGGTGCTCCCCGGCGGCGGCTGTCCTCCCTGCTGAAGCTCCGGGCCGGGAGGACCCTGGAGACTGGACGCACAGCGAGAGGCCTCCTTCCTCCGGGTTTGCCCGGTCGCTAGGCCTGTGCTCAGAGTTACTTGTTCACACTCAAGTTTCTCCCTGTACCACAGAAATTTTCTTTATGCTACTGCCACAGGTATTTTTCACATTTGTATATTACTGGAGTTACAGCGGTGATCTTGGGTATTTTCTCTTTCCCCAAAGAGGAAACTGGGCATAAGAGTGATTTCCTCAGGGCCTCATACTTTGTAATGGAGCAGAATTGGTATACTGGTCCTTCCCTCCTGCTAGCCAGTTCTCTTTCCTCCTCTGTACTTCAGAATCCTCCTCCTCATCTCTTACCCTGTTGGCCACTTTTTACCATTGTGCTTTGTTTAAATGGTGTAATTACTTTTGGGAAGGTGGTTTTGTTCCGTTTTTTTCTCTCGGAAATTGAGGTAAGAGGAATTTTATGATTTTGTGATTGTGACCACTCTTACACATTAAGGTTACTTCTCAAGTTATAGCTCATGTCTTCTAGACCACATGTTTGGGAGAGGAGAAAGAGAAAAGAAGTACTTTTTAAAAGCTCCATGTTGCAGGGCCGGGGATTTAGCTCAGTGGTTTCCGCCGCCTGCTGCGCAAGCGCAAGAACCCGAGTTCAATCCCCGGTACCAAAAAATAAAAAATAAATAAATAAAATAAAATAAAAGCTCCATGTTGCAGTGGTTTAGTTAGCGATAATCTAAGAGTCATGTTACGCTTGTATGCCTGGCTCCTTGTGCTGGCCTGTACGTGAATGTTAACCGAAAAGACTCCTTTAGATGTGGCTGAACTAGTTACTATAAAAAGTAGTTCACTTTCAAACTCCCACCTTTTAAGAACAGAGAAACTCACTACAAAGGCAGTGTTGAAGGTAAGTATAAATGGAGAGAATTTATTGAATCCCCTTTTCAGAATGCCAGACACAAAGGTTTCAGCAGAAAAGCATTTTAAAGTGCTAGCCAGAAACTCTGGGAAGGCAGTAGTTATAGGTTTTTAATATTATTTGACCAAATTTGGAGGTTTATATTGCAATGTATAAGTTGTTACAAAGGAATGGGACTTTTGCCTTGGGAGGACTCTTAGAATGTAGCACAAACAATAAATCCAGAATATTTGTGTTAAATTAGTTCATTATAGCCCATAAACCTATAAATGCGTTTCTGCTGTGGGGAGAAGGTGACTTAGTTACCAGCTAATATTACATCTTCACAATTTATACATTAGTTACAATGACCTCTGATGCTGAAACATAGGTGAATTCTCAGTGCTACTTTATAGTCTTTGGGATAAGAATTTTATTTCCGTCAAAGTTTGGATCTTTTCAAGTGAACTGATTTTACAAAGTCAGAAACCCTTTCTTTTTTATTTTATTTTTTTTGGTATCAGGGCTCAAACTCAGGACCTTGTGCTTGTTAGGCACTGAGCTACATCCTCAGCCCCTAGAAAGCCTTTCTTTAAACTTCATAATTGTGCTTATTTGTATTCACTGTCTTTTCGAGCAACCTCAAGTAAGGGAAGTCACTTTTTTTTTCTGGTTTTTTGAGACAGAGTCTTGCTGTGTAGTCCAGGCTGGCCTGAATTTACTATATAGCCCAGGCTAGTCTTAAACTAGTTGCAGTAATCCTCCTGCTTCAGCTTCCTGAGTGCTGGGATTACAGGCATGCACCACCACGCCCAGTTCAGGAAAGTCACTTTAAAGGAGAAATTTGTGTTACCCTCATAATCTTCATTTGTTATAAATTTTCTCAAAGATTAGAAATATATTTATCTTCAAGTAGAACAGCCCCGTTTGGTACCCATTTGAAAGTCTTCCTTCTGCTTCCTGATTTGTGGTCATTTAACTTCTCGTTAAGCCCTCCACTGGCGACTGTGCCAGAAGAGAGAGAAGATGAAAAGCAAATGAATCATTTTGTAATTGTTAGCAGCTCTGGAAAATGATTTTGTAGATGAGATGAAGCTATTCCGGAAATTCTTCTGGTTTATGTTTTATTTCATTCATCTGCATTGTCTTTGAGATGTTCCTCAGTCACACTTCAGAATTCAGCTATTGAATAAGCAGGACCACACCCCCCCTTCATGGTTTCTTGTGTATCTAAGCATGATGCAGAGGATGAAGAGGATGTTTACAAGTAAGGAGTAGAGATAAAACGTAAACTAATCAATGCTGTTTTTCCTCTTTAAGCCTTTATTGAGTAATTTGATTAGACAGACAGGTTAGCCATTGTTATTGGTAGTGACTCATAGTGACTTTGCTTCAGTTTACTTTGAAGTATAAGTGTGAAGGCTTTTGGGTGCTTTTTAAGAAACATGGGCTTGTGTACATCCTTATAATTGCTTTCTTGAATTAGGCTTAAGATTTCATTAGTCTTTGTACCTGAACCTTGGCTTTTGCAGTGGAGCAAGTTCAGGAGTGTCATCTAAATTTCTTTCATGACTGCTCAGAAGTTGTCTTAGCCAGGCATGGAGGCATATGCCTGGAATCTCAGGAATCTGGGAGGTTGAGGCAGAATTATAAATTTGAACCCAACCTGGGCAACTTAGTGATTCACCAAGGCCCTCTTTCCAAATAAAAGGATGGGGGCCAGGGCCAGGGATTTAGCTCAGCGGTTTCGAAGCCTGCTGTGCAAGCGCAAGGACCAGAGTTCGATCCCGGTACCAAAAAAAAAAAAAGGATGGGGGCCAGACAGATATCTCAATGAAAAGGCCCTGGGTTCGTTACTCAGTATTGCCCCCCCCCCAAATTAGTAGTGGACAGGCTTTATGTCTTAACAGCTGTTATTTTGACATCTGTTTCTTTCCTTGTCTTTGGTCTTTCATTTCTCATTTAACTGTTTGGATTTTTTGATATTTATAGATTTGTGTTCTTTGTCACTTACGATAGAGGACAGCAGCCATTATTCACCCTAGTGGGTAGGTTCTTGCCATTTTTATTTAGCCTCGGGAATTTTTACTGACCTTTATGACTTACTAGTTAGGCTGAGTTACTGTAAAATTGTAAACAAATCACTGTTAGGTGGATAGGATTAAAGATGTCCATAATGAGTATAAAGCTGATCCTTTTCATTGTTTATTTTCTTAGATTCAGCCGCTTCCGTTTCTACCCTAGGAGAGGACTTATGGAAAGATCAAGACTAGGCGTCAGAAAACCGGGTTCCTGTTCAGTCCCTTGTCAGCTGCAGGGCCTCGAGGAAGTCCTTTAATCCTCCCTGTTTCTCTGTTTCACACCTCAGCAGTGGGGACAGTGATCCATGCTTGGGGTGGAGGGAAGAAACTTTCGTGTCCCATTAAATTGTTTTGTCACTTTAGAACCCTTTCTCAGGTTTTACACACTTCCTTTTGCCTGAGCTCTTCCGCAAAGTCCTCGAGTTTCCATTCCCCTTTGGATTTCTGGTCTTTCCCTCCTGCAGGCTCTGCCGGTTCACGTGCTGTATACACGTTGGGGTTCTGGGTTCTGTTCTGTACTTCAGTGTCACATGGTGCCTTGCTTTGTCAATTGGGAGCTCCGTGGCCAAGGATTGCACTTTTCCTGTTTCTGTGTATCTGTTACACCTAGGCTCACCTCCTCCTTCCTCCCCCCATAGTTGACCTAGAATAAATATGGGTTGAGTAAGTAATTATTCTGATTATCAGGAAAGAATGCTTTGGGTGACAGGAAAATGCCAAAGATGCGCATCTTACCAGAACTTTTGGATGACTGGCCTTTTAAATCACTGTTTCTGATTTATTGTTCACAGTAATTGAATCAGATGCTGGCAAGGCAAATTGGTAAAAATCATTTCTTGGTTCTGTTTCCTTTAGATACTGTTTGTGAAGCAAGTTGGAGCAATGATGGCCCTGAATTTGACATTTGTTCCATTTCTTACCATGTAGCAGGCAGAGGCCTATCTGTATGCAGCTGCTGAGTGGAAATAATAAAAAGTGACTGCACATCTTTTGGTCCACATTTGAGCTTGTTTGCTTTGAAGAATTTGCAAGGTGGAGAAAGAGATGCTTCAGGCTCTGATTTCAGCCCATGCTGTGCTATGCAAATGTTCTCCACATGCCTGAGTGACCTTTTGAGAAAGAGCCTTTGTGATCTTCTGTAGCTGGTGCTTGTTCTGGCAATTGTGTGCCAGATTCCTCTAAAAATGGGAAAAGTGGATCTGTTCAAAGACCATGTGAAAAAGCCGGTGCTTTTCCTGGATGAGCACTGGCAACTCCGTGTTTCTTACCATTTCTTGCCAGCACTTTTGAAATTTGCTCTGTGGTTTGTTTTTCAGGTTGCTTTGGGGAATGATATGTGTGAGAGGGAACTGACTAAGGCAGCTCAGTAGCTGGGAAAGTGTTTGTTTAAGTGCTCTTGAATTGTAGATAAAAATAAATCCAAGCTGGCACCGTTAGTGTATGGGTGTTTATCAGTGTCCTAAGGCTGGCTTTCTGAGCTCGGGCTGATTTGCTCAACGCCAGATCTGGAAGGTTCTTTTTGCTCCAAATTGTGCGCTTACAGTTTGTCATCTGAATTGGTTTCTCTTTGCTTTGATTATTGCACAAAGATAATACCTCATTATTAAAAGTATAATTATTTTTTATATTCTAAAATAAATACTATTTCGATGTATTTCCTTTGGAAAGTGATAGTGGTGTCTTGGGAAATTCATGATTTTAAATGCTTTTACGGAGATGTTTAGTCCCCCCCTTTCTCTCTTTCTCTCCCTCCCTCTCCTTGGGATCGAGAGCCTTGGGCCTGGGCTCCGTCCTTTGCCCTTTTGTGAGACAAGGTCTCGCTAAGTCACTAAGTTGGGCTCAGCTTGCAGCCCCCTGCCTCAGCCTCCCGAGTGCTGGGATTACAGGCATGTGCCACCATGCCTGGCTTTCTTTCTTTTAAATGACCTTTTTGATGAAGACTGTCATAAATTTGTACCGATAGCTGGGTGTGGTGGCCCGAGCCTGTGATCCCAGCACTCCGGAGAGTGAGGCAGAAGGATTGCCACCCGTTTCAGGCCAGCGTGGGCTGCTGCATAGTGAGTGCAAAGCCAGCTTGAACTACATGTGAGACCCTGTCTCAAAAAAAAAAAAGTTTGTACCATATAAAGCTGTGGAATTAATCATAACAAACTGGCTTTTCAGAAGAGAGACTTTGTATGACTGGTTTACTTCCTAGGCTCTTTCCTCCTCCAAATATAGAACAGTTCTTTCTGCGTTCTGATGTGCTGCAGAAGGCAGGGTAGAGGCAGAGGTTGAAGGGGAATGGGGTGGGGATGCCTTCTTTCCCCAACCTCTGGCCAGAGTGCCCCGGAGTGAGCTGAAGAGAGAAGTTGTTTTCCGGGTGGGTGGGAGGTTTTCCTGCTCTCTGTGCCATCACACAGGTCTGTTTTCTCCTCCCACAGTCTCCCTGGAACCTGGGCTCCTGAAGACGCTGCGCTGGGGCAGATGGATAATGGAGACTGGGGCTATATGGTGAGGGTCTTGCAGCTGCACTCTGAAGGCTGGCGGATTACTTTTGTGTCTTTTTTCCTTTACACATTCTTGGTTGTAATATATCTTACAAGGGTTAAAATTACAAATTTGTGCAACTCTTCTTTCTTTTGGGGGGGATTTTTTTGTTTGATGTTTTAATGGAAGCAGCCTCAGTACTGACTCTGCAAATAATTTTTTTTTTCCCATTAAGTTTATTAGTACATTTTCGGTATAAAATACAGTTGCATTCATCATTGGGATCTTGTACCATTACATGAGTCTCTTGGTTCTTATTTTTTTTCCCCTTCCCCTGCCCTCCCTTCACCCCCTCTACCCTTCCCTATTTGCAAAGACTTTGTTTCCATTTTTTTCCTCTTCTCATATTTTTTCCTTTCCCTTTTTTCCCTTCCCCTACCCCTCCCACTTCCCCTGCTTTTTTAGACCTTTTCTTCCTGTTACACAATATCAGTTATACATTTTTTAAATTACAATATTAAGATCTAGGAGACATTACCACAGATTTTACAGAATTTAAAAGGATATAGAAAGCATATTTCAAAAATCTTTTTTGAAATAAATTTGACAACTTCTGAGAAGTAACTTGGAAGACAAATTAATGAAACTAACTCTGGAGGAAATATAAAATTTGAATAGCACCTATTAAAGAAAGTATATTCCTAGCTTGAGAACCTACCTATATGACAACAGCAGGCTCATAGACATTTTAACTGATAAATTATATCAAACAATTAAAGCAGAAAAAAGAAGGAACACTTCTCCCCTCATTTTAGGAACTCAACATTGTGCTAATCCTAAAACTGGATAAAGATAATAGAAGAAAAAAGTATGAACATAGATAGAAATTTGTTTAACAGATCTCCAAATAATTTTTTATAATCACTTTTTTTTTTTTTTTTGGAACCGGGGATCGAATTCTGGTCTTTGCACTTGCGCAGCAGGTGGCGAAACCACTGAGCTAAATCCCCGGCATAATCACTTCTTTGAGAAGTAGCGTGATTTTTCCATCTTTAACGTATGTTATTCTAAACTCTTCATGTGTGCAGTGGTGATACTAAAAGAGTCTAGCAGGTGACTTCCTTGTAGTGAGGGAGGTCAGTGGTGACAGAGGTGCCTCTTCTCCCGCTTGCACTTTTTGTGTGTGCCTCTCCCTATTTTTTGCTTCTTCTGATAAGAAATATATTACTTTTCTAGTACAGGAAGACCATCTTTTTATTTTTTTCTTTAATATGGTTTCTGAAATCAAAGGTATATTTTTAAAGAAGCTTGTTTCTCAAAATTGAAGGCAGGATTGTGACACTAAAGTTACAAAAGTGAATACACTAATCAGATTATGAAAGGTTAAAGCTGCTATTAGCTTTTGACTGTGTGATGCTTTTGTCTCTAGGGTGTGTTGACTGAACTGTTTTAATTTAGTATTTGAAACATTTTATTTCCGTGAAGATTATATCTGCACAAATTTTTATTTTTAAAATAAAATTAATAGTTTATTCTCCTATATTTTATTTTTTTATGTTTCCTTTTTTTGCGATGGGGTCTCGCTGTGTAGTTCAGACTGGCCTGAATTCACTATGTAGCCCAGGCTGGCCTCGAACTCGCAGCGATCCTTCAGCCTCAGCCTCCCGAGTGCTGGGATCACAGGTGTGCAGCACCACACCCAGCCTGTTCTCCTTTACTGAGGGAGGAACTCAAAGAATATTAAAAGTAGGTATCTTTACATTTATCAACTCATTTTTATTTTATGTTAAATTGAGTTAAGGAAACTGAAGGTCTTTTTAATCAAAAATAAGAAAAAAACTTAAATGAATATATTAGTATGGGTTTTTCCTTCCCATAATACTCTCTGACCTGAAAACTTTGTATATACTGGGCTGAAACTCTATGGCTCTGGAAGTCATGCCCTCTATTCTTAGATAAGGCTTTGTCTTATCTCAGAATCTTCATTTTTATTTTTGTTTTTCTTTGTCTTATCTCAGAATCTTTATTTTCATCTTGAATGTTAGATCCCTTATCTAGGTGGGCTTATCCATGTTCCTTTATAGGACTGCCAAATATAACATAACTTGTAGATAAAGAGGGAGGAGAGTGAGCCAGAGGGAGGGGAATGGGGAAAAGAAGCAACAAGATAAATAGAGCACATACGGGGACAAATTCCTTAGGATGAATGTGATCATTATTTATATCTAAAATGTGCCAGTAAAATAAAAAGTAAAAAAAAGGTGGGGGAGAATCTTGTGCTTTGCTTGTTATTTTTGCTTTTCTTAATATGTCAAATTTAAGATTTTAAAAATTTCACGACCAATTATTTTTGTAAAATTTCAGATGACTGACCCAGTCACGTTAAATGTAGGTGGACATTTGTATACAACGTCCCTCACCACACTGACACGCTACCCAGATTCCATGCTTGGAGCTATGTTTGGAGGGGACTTCCCCACGGCTCGAGACCCTCAAGGCAATTATTTCATCGATCGAGACGGACCTCTTTTCCGGTATGTCCTCAACTTCTTAAGAACGTCAGAGTTGACCTTACCCTTGGATTTTAAGGAATTTGATCTTCTGCGGAAAGAAGCAGATTTTTACCAGATTGAGCCCTTGATCCAGTGTCTCAATGACCCCAAGCCTTTGTATCCTATGGATACTTTTGAAGAGGTAGTGGAGCTCTCCAGTACTCGGAAGCTTTCTAAATATTCCAATCCAGTGGCTGTCATCATCACCCAGTTAACCATCACCACCAAGGTCCATTCCTTACTAGAAGGCATCTCAAATTATTTTACCAAGTGGAACAAGCACATGATGGACACCAGAGACTGCCAGGTGTCCTTTACGTTTGGACCTTGTGATTATCACCAGGAGGTTTCTCTCCGGGTCCACCTGATGGAGTACATTACAAAACAAGGCTTCACGATCCGCAGCACTCGGGTGCATCACATGAGTGAGCGAGCCAACGAGAACACGGTGGAGCACAGCTGGACCTTCTGCCGACTGGCGCGGAAGGCCGACGACTGATCACCAGCTGAGGCGGTCCTGGGACTGGAAACAGGACCTCCGGGGGATGGAAGAGACTGGGTTTTGTTTTTCCCCCTCACAGGGTGGGCTTTTCTTTCTTTTTAATATTTGTATTTATTTGAAAGCATTGAGGACCAGAAAGCAGTGTGTTGTGCTTGAGCAGACTCTTCCACGTTTGTTCCCTTCTCCCTGAGTATGCATGTGCCTGTTCAGAGTCTCCAGATACCTTTTTTATAAAAAGAAGTCTGAAAAATTATTGTGGTATATCATCTGCCGTTAACAGAGCTGTTTCTTAATTACAGTGCTAAAATGATTTCTGAAAAAGTGGTCCCTAACTCCACTAGAAGGCTAAAAACACAGGAATGAAAGAATAAGTAGAGTACTCGTGATGCCTTTGAAAAAATCAAAGTGTATTGTGTAGGGTGACCTTGTTTCCAAACCAATAAGCAGTACTGTAGTATTGAAGGAAAACCGTTCCAGTCATTTAAAGGTACTTGTTAAGGACTGCTTTTTACAGTTATGACAACTGTTTCTTTCTATGCATAGATATCAAGCAACCAAATATCTGTAGCCATGGAAATGTCTGACTAGAAATATTTATATTGGATTCTGAATACAAAATGTCCCTGTGGTAGAAATCTTACTTCTTATGCCTGGTGCAGTATAATTCCCAAGTGTACTGTCTACCAGGGAAAGAAAAACCTAATAAAAAATGAAACATGAAAATCAGGCTTGTATTTGTTGGTTGTTATTATTACTTATGGGAGAAAATCGTGCTTCTCATGTAAAGTGTACATTGTTTATATCCCTGCATATGCTTCCCTTAGCCCCTTTGTGTTTGATCTTTGAGGACTCGGAACCTTGCATTGTAGTTTATAAGTACTGTACTGTTTCATGAAGCAGGGATGGATAAAATTTTGTCTAAAAGGCTGCGGGTTTTTTTGGTACCAGGGATTGAACTTGGGTCCTTCTGCTTATGAGGCAGGGGGTGGAACCACTTCGCTAAATCCCCGGTCCCTAAGGCTGCATATTTGAATGGTGAACATAAAGTTTGAAAAATTTTTTCAAATAGGACTTAAATTGTCATAGCTCTGCATATGACTCATTATTTCAACTTTGTGCTAAGCACAGGGACAAAATAGCTCTAGTCATTTTATTCTCATATATTGTGGTGACCCACAAGTGTATTTTATTTCTGGAGAGAAGAAATGAACTGCTGTGAAGGAAGAATCTGGAACAGTGGGGGAGATGTGTGTACTTGTATTTCACTGTGGTCTTGGTTTACAAAGTTCATTTTCTGTTTCTTGACAGTTACTCACAGGAAGGGTCATATCAATCATAGTGAGACTTCTAGTTTCCTAGAATACCTTATACAAACAGGACGTCGTCGCTTCCTGCCTGTTTTCTAAGGGCAGAGTGGAGCTCCGACTGGGTGCCCTGGCGCTAGCCTTCTCTCTGGGAATACTCCAAGACGCTCTCCGTGCAAGATGAGAACATTTATTTATGTCTCGGAAAATTTACTTGTTTTGACACAATTTTCACACAGAAATCCATAATTACCCCATTTTCACCGTCTTCAAACCAAGATCCCATACTCTTATTGACCAGTTGCTATGGTTTCAATAAATCAGTGTACATACTAGTATTAGGTTACCATCGAGGAAACTGGCTCCTGTGTCTAATTGATGGATGGTTACCTAAACAAAAGAACAACAGCACCCCAACCAGATAGGTGTTCCTGAGCGACTTGAGAGCAATATGAAGTAAAATTGTTTGAGTTGAAAACAGTTGTGGAAATAGGGATATTTCTGGTTGTTCCAAAGTTACGGAAGTTAGGAAAGTTTATGAAACTGAGGAGTTCTCCTTGTGGATCTTCTGGAGATAAGTTTGTTTTTGATAAATATTCTCAGATATATTAATTACTGTCAGCTTTTTTTTTTTTTTTTGGTACCAAGGATTGAACTTGGGACCTTGCGCTTGCGAGGCAGGCGGCGGAACCACTGAGCTAAATTCCCGGCCCTCATATATACTACTAATTATTAACAACTAAAGGGTTTCAATTAAGAAAAGTAGGCAACTGGGCTTTTTTCTTTGCAGTTTATTTGTCAACATTTAATTTTCTGTGTTTTATCTATCTGAGTAATCGGAAATGATATGAGAAATGTGGCTTGATTATATTTGGGTAATTTGATACAATTATGTCTCTTTCAAGGAAAGTTTACTTTTCACTGTGGAAGACTTGATTTTTTAAAAAATCGATACACAGTTGCATTCTTAGGCTCTACGTTTTATGTAGCTCATTCCAAGTATAGGCAGGCGCTTTTGTTTTGTTCTTGGTACCAGGGATCGAACTCAGGACCTTGCACTTTCGAGACAGGTGGTGGCACCACTGAGCTAAATCCCAGGCCCAGGACAGGCACTTTTGGAAGACAGAGGACCCTTTTAAGGAGGGTAACTGGGCTGGGGTGTGGCCCTGCGCTGAGCTGCACGGAGCAGTGCAACAAACACCCCCAAACTTCGCCACTGACCAAATCCAAGAACGACTCACTCCTCCCTTTCCTGTTAGTCTTCATTTTGAACTAAATCAGACAGTTTCACAGATAATCAGACAGTGTCTAAAAGGTGATTTAAAATTATGTAACATAATTTTAAATATTAAGTTTACATAACATTGTGGTGCTGCTTGGTCCTGGAATGATGTTGGTTTTTTCTGTTTTGTTTTTTTTTTTGGTACCGGGGATGGAACTTGGGCCCTTGCACTTGCGCAGCATGCGGTGAAACCACTGAGCTAAATCCCCGGCCGGATGTTGGTTCTCTCATAGTTTTGATCCTCGACTTTGTATTAGTGGTCCGATGTATTTCTCGTAGGCAGGGTTCTGTTTTTTAGAAAGAAATATGTTATTAAGACGGAATACATCTGCCAGGATTAAAGACTTGCGTTCAAACTGTGTTTAGCTTTAAAAAGTAACATTACATAAGATCCTTAATTTCTCAAATTAGTTTTTAAATTCATTTTGTGTGAACATATGGAGAAACATTTTTCCAAAGGGCATCTTTCCTTTCTCATGCAGATTTTAAATTGTGGATGCAGGTGGCTGATTAAAAAGAAAGCATCCAGCTTATCTTTGCTTATGGAATTTTAATACAAATTAAAGGGTTGGCTCTCCAAGGGTCTTTGAAATTGAACATGAACCACGGAGCAAGGAAGCAGAGAGTGGTATCAAGGAAGCAGGATTCTATGTTAGAATTCTAACGCAGTGTCTGGATTCCTTCCTTTATAGCCCTAACCTCATCCTTTATATGACTTTTATTTACTTTTTGGTCTGACTACACTAAAACTGTAAACTCCTTGAACACATAGCCTACAACTTTTTTTTCTGGTTTTTTGAGGCAAGGTCTCACTCTGTAGCTCAGGCTAGCCTCTGACTTGAAGCAACCCTTCATCAGCCTCCCGACTGCTAGGATCACAGGTGTACGCCACCACGCAACATGGCCTGCAGTTGTTTCCCACCGTGTCTTTAATACCGACAACAGTTTCTGTCAACGTAGCATGTACTCAATACGTATTTGTTGAATGATTGAATGAATAACTACTACTTAAATGAATCTTTACAATTGAATGTTGGGAAAAACAGAGTTCTTGATTTAAGATTACCACCACCACTTCATGCGTCAATAAGGGAGTTACTTAGGCATGGGGTCATGTAGGGAGGGGAAATGTCTTTTGCAGTTTTCTTTGGAGAAGCTGGCTTGCCCTAACATCCGAATCAAGCAGAAGCCCAAAGGCAGGCAGTATGGCTAGAGTAAGCCAAGAAAGGGCATATTTTTCTGTCCAGGGATAAAGTTCAACATGGCCTGTCCCAGACAGAAGGGAGACTCATGATTCTGACATTCAGTTTGGCACAGCGCTTGACTTTTGGTAGGAAAACATCAGTGATGTATACAGGTATTCTCATTTGTTCTTTTCTGTCTACAGGGCATGACTCTACATAGCTGCTGTTTTAATTTCTTTAAAATACATGTAATGTACCTTTTTGCACTGTGTAAATGAAAAATATCTTTATTGGAGTTTCAAAATTGTCTCCAGTAAAAAAAGTTGTCTAGGGGCCAGGGATTTAGCTCAGGTTTCACCGCCTGCTGTGTAAGCTCAAGGACCCGAGTTTGATCCCTGGTACCAAAAAAAAGTTGTCTGCAGTAGATTAGAAAAGTACACATTAAATGTTTTGGTGATGTCTAAAGGAGCCAGAAATGTGTTCTAAGATTCCACAGCCATAATGAGCAATCAACTGAGGGTCATTTTGACTTACTGGTAGCAAGGTAATTTACGACCTTACGTTACTAAATTGCTGTTTATGAAACAGCCGTAGTGCACCTGTCACCTTTTTAGCAAAGTAATGTGAGGTTGGATGACAAGCATTTGTCTGCAGCATTTGTATGCAGTGGGTTCCTTAGTGTCACTACGTAGGTCATAAAGTCGTGTTTCTGGATTCTGTACGTGGAGCCTACTCTGATGGATCCTGGAGGGGACGGTGAAGACTGCATCCTGGTTCACAGTCAGAAGGAGGCAGAGAGAAGAGTAATGGGGTGGGGTTAGGGATCCCTCGAGGCTGAGCGTCCTGGAGATAAGCCTGCTTGCTCTCATAGGTCCAGATGAAAGTCTACAGTGAAGATGAAAAACAAGAGCTCCCTGCATTCTTCAGATCAAGAGAACTGGAATGTTTCCCGAGCTGCCAGTTAAACAGGTCTGAGCTGTGTGTGTCAGCATTCCCTGACGGCCACACGGTGGGAGGGTTTTGGAGCACCAGAGGGCATACATGTATTTTAGATCCTGGGCACCAGGCTGCACCGGAAGACGACTCTATTTTTAGGCCAGCATTTAAATGTTAAAAGGAGAGATAAAAAAATAAAAGAGACCTCATCATTAGAAAAAGTAACACACTAGAAATAGGCTAGTTGCGGGGTGTTGTGGTGCACGCCTGTAATCAGCCCCAGCACCTGAGAGGCTGAGGCAGGAAGATCATGGTGAGTTGGAGGCCAACCTGTGCTACACGGTTCAAAGCCAGCCTGAGCTACATATCGAGACTCTGTCTCAAAAAACTAAGGAAAACAAAACAAAAAATAGGCTAGTAAATAGGTAAGTAGTAAATGTATCCTTTTTTGTTTGTTTGTTTTTGGTACCAGGGATCAAACTCGGGTCCTTGTGCTTGCGCAGCAGGCAGCGAAACCACTGAGCTAAATCCCCAGCCCCTGTTTGTTTTTTGAGACAGTCTCATTATGTTGTTCAGGCTGGTTCTGAACTCACAGTGTGGCCTAGGCTGGCCTTGAACTTGTGATGATCCTCCTGCCCCAGCCTCCTGAGTACTGGAATTGCAGGCGTGCGCCACCACGCCTGGCCCTAAATGTATGCCTTCTTTACCTTAGCTGGTTGTATCTCTTTGTTGGATCAAAAGATGTGTTCTTGGGGGTGGGGATTGGCCTTCTCTCTGACAGCCATCCTGGGGTAACTGGCTGTGTTATAACTTTAGATAATCAGGTTAAATTAAGCCAAGAGCTATCACAGTATACAGATTGTTCAAGCAAGTCTGACACTGTTAAGTGTGAATGAAAGCCTGAGAGTTGCAAATTTGATGAGCTATTAAGACACCTTTTCTGAAATTAGACTGAAGAAATAGAAAAGTCAGTTTCACCTTTCATTATAAAATACCCAGCACTGCAAAAAAAAAAAAAAAAAAAAGAATAAAAGAAAAGGTCTGTTTATACCTATAAACCCGTTGTTCTGATCATCTGTTTCAAATCTGCTAGTAAATATTGGTTCCCCATATTCTAAATACCAGATTTATTTCTTCACTTCAGTTATTTATCTGTTGACATTTGTAACTGTTCCCTTTGAGGCTAGGCAGTCTGCAACCCTGGCCTAGCGGGTTGGGATTTTATGAATCCTCTGTCTCTTCTTGCTGGGATGACGTGGAGTCCTGGTAGTCTCTCCTCAAACAGCCAGGGGTCATGTCTCCATGACCCCTGTAATTGTAGTTTCTTTTTTGGTACTGGGATCAAACTCAGGACCTTGCAGTTGAAAGGCAGGCACAGTGCCACTGAGCTCCATCTCTGGCCCCTATCCCCTATAATTGTCGTATGTGGTTTTCCTGGCTGCCAATGGCAACGCAGCAGCCTTCTTCCCTCCTGAGATTGTGTGAGGGTTCCTTCCTGTCAGATCTGGGCAAGACAGCCCTCTAGCTTCCCGCCCCTTCCAGATATCCAGGTCTTCCACATACAGCTAAGTGTAAAGGCTAAAAGTAAGATGGGTGAGTCACTGTTGGGACTCATCTTCTTGCCTGTAGTTACTTAAAAGCCAGTTTGCCACTATGTGTATATTCTCTGGGGCATATTAAGCTATGATACAGAGCAGGCCTTCTTTTTAATTCCCCTTACCAAGTTCTGAGCAGTACATTTTGCTGATTAAGGTTCCTGCCGGGCCACAACCCCACTCCTGGCTTTTTTTTTTTTTTTTTTTTTTTTTTGGTACCGGGGATCGAACTCAGGTCCTTGCAAGGCAGGCGACAGAACCACTGAGCTAAATCTCCGGCCCCTTGGCTTTTTTATATATTCTCCAAAAATGCTTTGGAGATATGCTATGCCAAGTGATTTTCAACCTAATGGAAATCAATTAAGATGAGGAAACAGAGAGGTGTATTTAATGCTTATTTTCTGCTCCCTGATATAACTTATAATGTATTCCACTTAATTACCTGAGATTTATTGTTTGGTGACATCTGAGCCCAATGGAACAAACGTTCATAGACATTTCCATCATAACAGCCGAGTGCAGAATTTAAACACTGATCGGTGAAGTCAAACGCATCCGTTAACAAGATGGCATCCTTCCTGAGAGAGGAAACATGAGTCCGAACTTTAGGCTGTCCTTATGAATCTAATTACTCTAATACCCAGTTAGAGGTTGCATCATTAGTCACTTTTCAAATACTTCAGCTTTACTTTTATTTATTTATTTTTAATTTTATTGGTACCTGGGATCGAACTCAGGACCTTGTGCTTGTGAGGCAGGCGGCGGAATTTACTTTTATTTTTAATCAGTTTTATCAGTATAAGAAGAGTTCTTTCAGGCTATTTAAAAAACAGCATGTCCCAGACTCTCTTCCATTTCCTTCTCCCTGAGGCAGTTCGAATCTTTTAGTGGCTATTTTGGTATTTACCTGAATGTCTGTAAATACCTTGTTTCTATTACTGACAGCTTTCTGATACTCAGTGTCCCTTAGATGTCATCTGTTGACTCTCCATTACAAAGGACAAGGGTTTACCTTTAGCTGCCTTCTCTTCACTTCTGCCTCTCCTGGCCCTCTGCTTCCTCCCTCGGCCTGCCTATCTTCTAATAGAAATTGTAATTTTGGCCAGATGAAAATGCAATGTTAACAATACGACGACTGTACATTATTAAAGCCTTTGAGGTGGCTGAGGTACTGTCCCTGAGATACTGTCCTAAGCCCTATCATCTGTTTAATAAAGTCCCTCTACCCTCAGTGGCCTCACTTCTCTACTTCGCCAGCTGAGATTCCATGGTCTGTTATATCCGCCCCTCAAAAATACACTTAGCAGTTCTTCCTGATTTTCATACTACTTTAGCAAAGCTCACCCCTTCTTATTCCAATTTTCCACCAACCTTGTGCCATGACCTTTGTAGTTATGTACGGCTGGAAAAACCAACCTAAACTGATGTCCCTAGGGTCCAGTGGGTCCAACTGCTGGTTAGCAGTCATCTCACCTTGCTTTAGTCCATTTATTCTTTCATTCTCTTAGGTGATGATTTCAGAAGTTCTCTATCATCCTCAAGTCTATACTGTGTCGCTTTCCATCCGCCCTCTCCATCTCTGCATCCCTTTTCACTGGTAAGGTAGAAGCAATGAGGGAATTTCCACACATTCCCACTCCTGCATTGATACACACTGCTTGCTTTCTTCTACTAAGTCCAACTGTCCAGGCTCCCAGCTCAGCCAGTCAGCTCCTCATCAATTACATGCCTTCTCTTCTTGCCTACTGGAGAACAGTCTCAGAAATTCTCCCATTTTCCCCTTGCCGTGACAAGCTTTTGACTGTCTCCCTCTCCATCAGCGCCCCGTATCGTGGCTCTGCCATACGACAGAACTTGAAAGTGCTGTGCCAACCTCAGGTCTCCTGTTCCCTTCAGAGAGAACCGGATCCTTCAAGTAGTTAACTCTACCACCCCGCTGAAGCAGCTTTTGGCAAGTTCATCTCTGCTGGTCGTTGGAGGGTCCTAAACTCAGGGCTTGACATCATCTCTTCATGCACTCTCCCTTGTGCTCATCCCTTTCCTGGCTCTAAACATCAGCTTATGCCAGCGACTTCCAGATTTATCCCTCCCGTGTCATTTACCTGCTTACCAAAATCCTGTACTTGTATTTCTAACAGGCTTTCCAGACTCGTCCAAAACCAAACTGTTGGACTTCTCCTGCCCATCCAGCCCTAACCTAGCCCTCCCATCTTCCCCATTTATGGTCATAGCCTTGCTGTGTCTTTCTCTTGCCCCCATTTGTCCTAATCTGTCAGCAAATCCTGTTCTCCTTTCAAAATACATCCAAACATTGCCCACTCCCCACCACTTCCTGTGCTACCACTCAGATCCAACCCACCATGATCTCTCACTTGGGATTACGGCATTAGCTTCTCAGCTGGTCTCCCTGCTGTTGTGTTGTTTTTCTTTTTTTTTTCTGGAGCTGAGTATTGAACCCAGGGCCTCACACATACTGAACAAGTGATCTAGTATCAAGTTACACCACCAGCCCTTTCTTTTTATCCTTAATATGATAGTTAAAGTAATTCTTTAAAAATAAACATCAGATTCTTTCAGTTTGTTGACTGTGCTGTGCTTAAAAACCTCCCGTGTTGCGCAGAGTAGAAGCCCACATTTTCATCCTGTACAGCGTCACTTTCTCTCGCCCCTTCACGTGCACCCTGGACGTCGGCCTCTGCCTTTGTTTTCCGGCTCAGGCATCCATCCCCACTTCTGTGGCCCTTGTTTGTTCTCTGGCTGGATGTTCCCATCCACTTGGCCCACCTCTGTACCTGTGCTCTGCCAGAGCGCTTTTTCCCTGGCAGCCACAGGGCTTCTCTCTGCCCACTCCTCTGCCCTCAGGTCCTTCCTCCTGGAGCCTTCCTTGCTTATGCACAGCAGTACCCACCCCTCCCCAGCTGCATTCCTGATCCCGCCCTGTTCTTTTCTTCCCAGCACTCATCACCATTTTATGTAGTGTGTATTTGACTTATTTTGTGTGTGTGTTTTGTGTTTATGTGTGTGTCCATCTCTTCTTGTAGGTAGGCACTGTGGTCTTTTTCAATCTGAAACTTGTACCTTTTATCTGAGGGATATTTTCCTCAATTGTTAATCATTTGCCCCCTTCTGTTTTTGCTTCCAGACTTGTTTTTCAGATGATGAACAGCTAGGATCGGTCCTCTTACTTTTTAAAAATCTTTGTTATTTTTTTGGTCTTTTGTCTTTTTGCTTCCTTTCCATGAGTTTTATCTTTCAATCAGCTTTATCTGTCAATCTTTAAATTGAATTTTTAAAAATTTCTGTTTTTTTTTTTTTTTTTGTACCAGGGATCGAACTCAGGACCTTGTGCTTGTGAGGCAGGTGGCCTACTGTTTTTTTGTTTTGTTTTGTTTATTTTCAAAGAGCTCCTTTTTTCTATGATTATTTTAAAATAATGACATTCAGGTTCTCTCTTAATTTGTGTTTGTAATATCTCTTCTTAAGTCTTAGAAGACATTACTTTTTTTTAAAAGTCCTTTTCCCTGCCATTTTTTTTTTTTTTTTTTTTTTTTTGAGACAGGGTCCTGGTATGTAGGCCACACTGGCCTTGAACTCACTTTGATCCTCCTGCCTCAGTCTCTCAATAGTGGGGATTCCAAGAACGTGCCACCACTCCCAGCCTTCCTGCCAATTCTTAGGTCTTCAGGTTGCCTCTTCTTGGTTACTTTGATCTCCATCCTTTGTGATAGGGTTTCCCTCGGGCTCTGGAGATTCCAGTGTCCGATCCTGAGCTAGCCAAGTAAAGCCTGAGTCATGCTAAGGGGGTTCACTGTGGGGTGGGCTGGGTGGGCTGTCAGGGGCTGCAGCCTCTCAGATGCTCCACAGAAGGATCATTATGTCATCTTCTTACGGGGTGCTAGCCTGGCTGCCACTTTTCGAGTAGAAAACAGTGCTTAGAGACAGAAGGATAAGCATTTGGCCTGTAAAGCCTCCTGTTTTCTGTAGGGCAGCCTTAAACTTATTTTTAGGGACAGGTCTATGTTCCCTGATCCACAGACCCTCTGTTTACCCTTTCGTCAGAGCAGGGTCAAGGAAAGTCCAACAGGGATTAAACTTATTTGGAGCTGGGCTTTCAGCCCAGCTACCATCTCACCTTTGTCCCCATGGCCAGAGCAGGTACCCAGTGCTGCTGGCTCCTGGAGTTCTTGGCCGGGACCTGCCTGCCAAGTCACTGCCTGTCATTAACCCTTCAACTGGCATGTTTCTTCTCCTGCTCTGGAGTTTCTCTTGGAGGGCTGATGCCTCTTAAGTAATTCTAATCCATTTGCTAATGTTTCAGGGGGTCTCGGGAAGGAACTGCTAAACACACATGTTAAAGCCACCCTCTTTACCTACAAGTCCCCCAGTGAGATTTCAGGATCACTTGAAAGCCCTGCTTGGGCAGCTTATTAACATTACAAAGAGCCGCTTCTTGGTGTCACTTAGAAGAGTGTGTTGCCCTTCATTTGTCACCCCAGAAATCTGAGGGAAATAATGACTCATGGAGGCAGGGGACTGTGACACAGCAGCATTCAAAGCATGGAATCTGTTACATGCAATTACCCTGCAGGAGTAAGGTCACTTACGAATCATAATGTAAGTAAATCACTTTGTGGGTCTGATAGCTGCATGGGGCAGCTTTAGTCAGTGCTATCTGTCTTGGCTGTAAGTCCTCCTCTGGAGCCGAAGCACACACTTAAGAATTCGGTTTGCTGATTTAAAAAAATCCCATGCTTATGAGGTGGTAAGGTGATTTTTAGCATTTCACTATCAGTGCCAGTCAGGGTTAGAAAGCCATTTTCTTCATGTGCTTTTAAAATGGCAAGTTTCAGAAAGAGAGGCTTGAGCTGGAATTGTGCAGTAGTTCACTCTGTTCTAATGGTTTCCACCACTGTCTTCCCTGTAGGAGGGAAAGTTTGATGCTGGGGGCACAATTGTATCAGACATGTTTTTGACTGTTTTTGATGATATAATTGAACAAATATTTACTAGCCCCCAACTGGCTGTTAGATGCTTATATGTGGTCATAAGTGGCATGTAATATATACTGGTAGTTATAAAAATAACTTGGTCTGTATATCTGCCATGAAAATCTTGTTTTTATAGAAAATTCAATTTTTTTCCTTTTTATTCTCTTAATATTGCTGATAAAGAGAATAATCGGAGGTTCTGAGGGAAAAGTCACCCACCTCCACCAGGAAAAAGCCAGGTGATGTCTTAAAAAGGTTGTGTTCTCAGGTTAGCCTATTTTAAAAATCTTATCAAGGGCCGGGGATTTAGCTCAGTGGTTCCAGCGCCTGCCTTGAAAGTGCAAGGTCCAAGTTCGATCCCCAGTACCAAAAAAACAAAACAATACTTCAACCCCAATGTACAGGTTAAGGGCATGCTCGGGGTCAGACAGGCCTGAGGCCGTGTCCAACTCCTCTGGATAACTGCAATTCTGAGCAAGTTAATTCCCATAAGCCTGAATTTTCTCCTCAGTAAAAGACAGGTTAAGTCCAACTTAAAAGGGCTACAGGGATTAAATGAGATGATGCATGTAAAAGCTTTTGGCACAGTGCCTGGTACTGTGTCCTCCTTAAATGTTAGCTATGGTTAAAACTATCATCAGCAGCCAGTGTTCCTGTGTAGCAAGCTTCATGTTACTCACATTCTTCATGTACTGTTCGCGTTCCTTGACAGTGTGAAGTCCAGTTTCGGTAACATTAATTCTTAAGTGTACCAGGGTCTGGGGTTGTTCCCCGAAGGCCCCAACCACTCACCGGATCAGGAGCAGCAGGTCCAGGTAGGCTGTTCTGACCATGTCCACTTGGGGGCCAGACAGGAAGCCGTCATAAAGAAAGTTGCCTGAGTCCGTCAAGATGCCGTGTAAGGCAAAGAGGTCACAGAGGCGCTTGAGCGCCGGCTGAATGGCTGGCTCGTTGTCTAGTTTCTCCAGAGCTTCCTTAAAACTCTTCACGGTGAGATAGTAGCAGTGTGCCTACCAAGACACAAAGGTGCGGGAGCCGCTGACTGCTGACTCCAACTCCGCAAGCCACCCTGGGAGCTTGGCGCGCTTGCTGGAGTAACCCGCCGCAGCCTCACGTTTCTCGGTGGGCTAACAAGCAGCCGCCTCTCCTTTCAGCTCGCTCGGGGCTGACGGCAGATGCGCGCGCGCACACACACTTGCGGGGTGGGTGGGTAGGGGGCTGGTGGGCTCCGGAACTGGCTTTGCTTTTTGCTTAGGGAAGTCTCAAGTAGGTTTGAAAGTGGAGAGAGCCCACACAGGGGACACGGAGGGCAGCACCACTTTTTTCAAAAGGAACAGCGCTTATCGCCTGCCACGTGTAAAGCAGCGGTGCACACGCGTGTGCGCATGGGTGAGGAAGTAGGGGTTCGAGTGTATGTGAAATTTATCCCAGTGAGAGAGACTCCTGGAAGTAAGCGATGCTGTTATTTAGCCCACGGGCAGTGTCAGGCTCTGTCAGGTGTTAAAGTAATCATTTAGTACTGGTTATAAATGACTACATCATTCCCCAAGGCCTCCCCTTCCCCTCTGCCCAGCAGCTAGAGGATTAATGCCTGATTCAGCAAGAGCTTTCAGGGTCCTGATTTCCTTGCCTTACTGGTTGTTAAGTGTTTTTGAATATTTCCCCTCTGTGCAACACAAATGCATGTAATTGTTTTATCTGGTAAGATAAATTTGAGTTCCTTGAAGGAGAGAGAGAGAGAGGAGAGAGAGAGGGAGAAAGAGAGAGAGAGAGAGGGAGAGGGAGAGAGAGAAAGAGAGAGAGAGTCCATCCTCTGTGAAGCCCATACTGCTGGGACTGACTTTAAGTAGCAACGTCTAGGGCCGTGGTGGTGAACCTCTGGCACGCGTGCCGAAGTGGGCTGTTTGTATCATTGAAAGCTCTAAAAGGTTCGCCATCCCGAGTCTAGAGTGTCTCAGGTTCCAAAGAGCTCATGCAGGGGCACTAGGGATAAAGGAGAGGTCACTGAGGTGAGGGAACTTTATTTGCAAGGCTGTACCTCAGGAAGCTGAAGGCCTTTTTATGAGGCTCAAGCACCGGGGTACAGGAGGGCATGGGGAGCTGTGGCAGTGTGGGTGGCACAGGGCCTGCCGTGGAGCCAGGGCGACCAAGGGCTGAGAAGGGCTGGTCAGGACTGTGTTCTGTGGAGGTCGGGAGTGACCATGGTCCCCAGCAGGGCAGTGAGTGGTCAAGTTTCTTGTCTGCAGAGAACCTGCCCTTCCCAGGGAGGCCTCACACAATCATGAAGGACTCCACTTTGCCAGCACACCCAGGGCCTTGCCCTGTGCAGGCTGTGAAGCTGAGCTCGTGCTCGGTGCTGGCCCAAATAGCCTTTGGTGCTCAAACTGGGTCCAGACTGGCAAAACTGGAGACTCACACTTGCCCTGGAGGGTCTGCTTTTTCTGCACCAACCCATGGGCCACGAGTACAGACTCAAGTCTCTGCGTTGAGAGGTGGAGTGTGGAGCTGCCCTGGGGAAAGGTTGCGTCCTTATGGCTAGCTACCTCTTAAGTGTCACCTGCCTTCACTCAGTCTCCACAAGAATCCTATGAAGTAGGTGCTGTTAGCTCCATTTTTCAGATGAACAGACTGAGGCCGGGACATGAAGTTCTCCATCCAAGGTCACATGAACTGAGATCCAATCCAGGGCTCTACCTGTGCTAGCAAAGCCAGCAGGGACTGCAGCGGATTAGCCCAAGCCCAGCATTTATGGGGTCTGGGGTTCCTCCTGCTAAAGACTGAGCTCAGAGGCCCGCAGGCTATCAGAGCCATGCCGCTCTCCCTGCACCTCTGTTTTACAGAGTAGGTGGCCACACATGAAACTGGGGCCACAACACAGCCCATGGCTTTTTTTTTGGTACCAGGGATCGAACTCAGGTCCTTGCGCTTGCAAGGCAGGTGGCGGAACCACTGAGCTAAATCCCGGGCCCTAGCCCACGGCTTTTCCTCACCCATTGCCATGCCAGCGCTGCTCCTCCAGCCCAGGTGCAGTCATTCCTTAACTGCTCCTTCGGTCACAGAAAGACAAGGCCCTACCCATTGTGACCCAGAAAACTGCTCAAGCACCGCTCCCACAAAGCCACCAGGGCTCCCTCTTCTCCTGGAGGGTGGCTCAGCTTCCTGCCCTTGGTTACTCATTGCACCGAGGCCACCGGAGCCAGAGCACACAGCTTGCCTCTGAGGCTTGCGGGGAAGGAAGGCTTCATCCCTCCTCTGGGTGCACCATCCTGACCCTCTGCAAGGAGATTCTGCTAGCTTCCCTGGCAGGGGTGTGTGTACTAAATGAAGGCAAGGCAGAGGTTTGGAAACAGACAAGTGAAGAGTGGGTGACTGGGTACCTCGGGTCACCCTCAGTATTGACAGGGCATTATCACAGCAGAGTGGGTGCCCTAGCTGCAGAGTTCGGGCAGGCCCAGTGGGTTGGGTCACCAGGTGGCACTGCTGCCCACTAGCCCGCCCAGTCCTGCCCTAGGAGGGCCTCTGCAGACCTCTCAGGGCTCTCCTGTGGGAGGCTGTCACTTTCTGGGCCCGAGGCCTTCGGACTGGAGTGATCCTGTTAGTCTTTCCATTGTGGGCAGGGCCAGCGTCCCAGCTACCTAAGCTCAGGAGGCTTTTTACGCCTCTTGGTACTGGGGTGTGAACCCAGGACCTTAGCACTGAGCTACCTCTGTGAGGCTCAGAGTGAGGACCACCCTGAGTCCTCGCCACAAGCCGCTGCTTCCTTCTGACTGGCCTCTAGCCTCCAGTCCCCTCCTCCCCTGCAGCTTGCGTAATTCTTTTAGAATGAAATGCTGATCACTTTCTTTTTGGTACAGGGGATTGAGCTCAGCACCTTGCGTTTGCCAGGCAGGCACAGTGCCACTGAGCTACATCCCCGGCCCACCGATCACTTTCACTCCCTAACGGAAACCTGGCAGGCTTCCCATTGCAGCGAAACCGGGCCCCCGCCTCTCACAGTAGTGCAGAAGAGTCCAGATCTTGCCTCTCTTCTCTCCTGCCTGCCCTTCTTTTCCTTGCTTTCGTTTTCCTCCTTATGCACCCACTTGGCAGGACTGGAGTTGTCTCCCAAGTACCAGGCCTTTTCTTGCCTCCTCTTTTGTACCTGCTGCTCCCTTTGCTTAGAAACCTTTCTCTCCAAAGCTGCCTTCAGCCAGCTTGTTTCAGCACAGCCTTGACACCTTATCCTATGAGGCACCTCTGGGAAGCAGACATGCAGCTGCCCCTGGGGTCCCGTCACAGCCACTCTGATTTCCCTGATGTCTGAGTTCTTCCTTGGTTGTAGCTGGGTACAGACAGCGGCTTCACTAGTGAGCACCCAGCCCAGTGCTGGTTTCGAGTGTGCTGACCAACTGTCAGTTATGCACAAACACAAAACATGGTGAAAATTGAATCAGACATCCAAGAATTGCTTCTAGGGCTAAGGGGAGACATGACCTGCTTTTTATCTGGAAGGAAATATTTGAACAACCTGAAGCAAATCCAATAACACCGCCTCATTACCTTTTCCCCTAAGAGCTGCCAGCAAGATTGCTTTGGAGTTAAGTCCTTTAATTAAAATAACCTGGACCAAAGCCTTGGGTGTGAAGAGGGCACTGGCTGCAGAGCAGGGTGGGGGTGGGGGGTAATGGCAGAGCCCGGATTTTCCCAGCAGGGTAGCCTGCCTGGGAGACAAAGCAGCTCACCTTAGCAGCCTGGAGGAGGATGATGCCTGTCTGGTCCCAGGCCTCATGCTGGTCAGCCCCGGATTGCCTGAGTGTCTGCAAATGACGCACCGAGTCCTCAATGAGCCTAGAGCCAAAGACCAAAGGTTCAGCTTCCAGACTGGGTGTGAATGTTGACTGACGCGCTGTGCGTCCCTCAGAAATAAAAATGATTTCTATGTATTGATCACTCATGTGCCATAAAGCTAAATGCTTGATAAACATTTCTTCTTTCAGGGCAGGTAGTCCCAACCAGTGGGGAAAACTGAATCCTGGAGAGGCAGACTGATTTGGTCAGAGTCACACAACTAGTAAGGAAGGAGCCAGAATTTGGATTTGTTCTTTACTGCCATGTTTTTTTTTTGTTTGTTTTTTTTGGCACCGGGGATCAAACTTGGGACCTTGCACTTGTGAGGCAGGCGCCGGAACCACTGAGCTAAATCCCCAGCCCATTACTGCCATGTTTTAAAGCCTTAGGCCAGGAGCTGACCCTCTTTCTCCTGCACATTCCATCCTAATAACCAGTGTTTTCTGGCCATTACGGTGAGCGGCTTCTAAGGCCTGAGCCAGAACGGTTATTGAAAGCCTAGTGAGGCCTATGGGCAACCGGCCTGCTACAAGTTTTACCTAAGGCACCGAACTCTTGTCCTGCAAAGCGCTAAATTAGTCATGTGTTATCCTTTTAACCTTTAATCTATTGTAATTTCTGTGCCCTGCGTGTGCCTCTGTGACTCTTGGAATTTGAATGTAAAACAAACTGTTTATTAAGCAATATTTATTTCGCCTTGTCAGGGAATAGATGAGCAGATGTCACAGTGAGTTCCCAGCAAAGACAGAAAATGGCATTTTAATTTCCCATCAGTCTTATCTTCCCCTCCCACCTCCCCCAAATGAAACGTTAGCCCAGTGAGGCCTTGGGGACTTTATCAGGCTGGTTTACTGACTGATCCCTACCTTTCAGAACAGTGCCTGGCATATTGCAGCATGTAAGTATTTGTGAAGTAAATAAATGTCTCAGGTTGCTTGTATTCTCTAAATCCCCATTAGTCATTCCTAGGGCCACAGGTTGGGTTATATGACCTCTTATAATTATATAGTAAAAATAGGTTTTTTCCCCCAGTTTGTTTTTGGTGTTTTAAGTTTGGGCCGAGTTCAGAAGGCTCCTTTGTAGGTAGTTTAATCTGTCTTTCTATAATGGTGTCTATGTGGGCTAGGGCTTCTTTTTATTCCCAGTCCCTAGCATGTTTGATCATTCATGTTTGGGTTTGCCTGTGTGCCCTGAGCCTAGCAGACCCTGGAAATGAATTCTATTCTGTGGTATCACCAGCTGTTTTGAAAATTATTTTTAGATTATGGGGTATTTCAAACTCACAGGTGTTGCTTTACTAATTGGTATTTGTTTGACACTGATACATTTATAGTATTTACATAGGGGCAGATTTGTTGCACTGCAAATTATCATCGGAAGCTAAGGACCTGGAAACTTCCTGTCACTGGCTGGAGAGGTGATCCCTTCTACCCCTGAGACCAAGATTCCGAAATGGTGGTGGTCCATGGCTGACGGGTGGGACATCCCCTTCTCTACCACGGCAGGAGGAGCTTCGAGGCCAGGGGTGGGAGTGGATTTTAGAAGTGGATGGATGAGTGTCCACCCAACCCATCCTGTAGGTCTTGGGGATTTGGTGGTTTTCCAGTGCTGGCTCACCTGGTTGCCATGTGTGCCCAGGCCATGGTATAGAGCTCTGGGGAGAGGAAGTCAGCTGTCCTCTGGGCTGGGCACTTGGTCAGGTGAGGCGTGGCGAGATATGCGACAGACTGAGGGAGAGACTTCTGTAATGTAGGGCCTGCAACCTGCTGAGCTCGCTGGTAGTTCTTCACCAGAAACCTGGGGCGAGACGGTAAAGCAGTGGGACGTGGGGCGGGGCCGGCCCAGCCCCCTCTCCCCAGGGGCTTGAGCTCTCAGACAGGGCCCACATTCCCACGCGGGAGGCGCCCCAGCCCAGCAGCCTCGCTCCTGACGGCGGCTCCTCACTCCTAAGCCCCCTCGTGCCATGCCGACCGGCTGCGGGGCGCGCCCCGAGACTCCGGGGCAGACACCCTTCCTTTCTGAGCGGAACCCTGTGGAGCTCTGTGCGAACAGAATCTTTTCTGTCAGATCTTCTCACTGGAGGATTTATGATGCCTTGTGCAGGGACTGGAAAGTACACTTCCTAAGCGGAGAGCAGAGCACAGCTGAGGAGCGCTGTGACAGGGGACTCTGCTGCTTGCCCACAATGCGGGTTACAGATTATGGGGTCCGGCAGCGCCACATTCCCATGCAGCTCTGCCGAGCCCGTGTGATGCCCTAGAAGTGGTGTCACCTCCATCTCTAGATGGGGTACTACTCACCCAGTGTGACACTGGATGAGGATGTTTGTGAGGTCCTTGCCACAGTGCCGGGCAGAGTGCCTAGTACACCCTCTGGTATCCCTTTTGTAATTCAAGGAAAGTTGTATGTTTTTAAAAACCCATAAATGCCACGTATGTATCTATTTGCCAGTAAACTCCTCTCTTCCTGTGTATAGAAGTACTTGCTCTGTTTAGTCACTTGACAGTAAGTCTGGCCATTCCTTCCTTCCTCTAAGGTTTGCCCCTGCCCTCTTCGGTACTGGGGGTCGAACCTGGGTCTTCTCACTGAGCTGCATCCCCAGCTTGTTTTATCATTTTGAGAACCAGGTTGGGCTTGAACTTGTAATCCTCCTGCCTCAGCCTCCCGGAGTGCTAGGATTATAGGCGTGTGCCACCATGCCTGTGTTGGAGCCTTTTGTGTAAGCTCTGCGCTAAGCCTCTGATACTGGGGTGAGCAAGGCAGGTGTGTTCCCCGCCCTCAAGGAACTCCTGGTGTAGCTGGGGAGCAGAGCTAGAAACATAAAGCAAAACATGCCAACAATCATAACAGCTGTGTAGGCCATGACGTAGAGGGCAGGCTTTTCCTTTGAGCAGTGGGGGACGAGTGAACACTTCTGAACAGAAAGGTGTGATTTCCTCTAGGTTTTGAAGAGATTCCTCTGCTGCCTATGGCGTCGTGGGGCAGGGTAGAAGCAGGAGACTAAACTGGGCACGGTGACACACATCTGTATTCTTAGCATCGGGAGGCTGAGGCAGGAAGATTGCTGCAAGTTCAAGGCCATCTTATGCTACACACTGAGTTCAAGACCAGCCTGAACTATATAGTGACACCTTGTCTCAAACAAGACAAAACAACCCCCAAACAACAACAACGAGAAGAATCACAACAAGAACAAAGAAGCAGGACACCAGTGAGGAGACTGGAGTCTAGGTGAGAGGTGGTGGCCTGGCTGGGAGCACCAGTGGGTCGGGGCAGCGGGCTGAGTCAGACTCGTACCGTGGGGTTTGGCAGCCCTAGTCAGCACTTCCCAAGGCCTGCTCCCTCTGCAGGCATCAGACAGAAGCCTCAGCCCGGCAGGAGCTCAGGGGTCTCCCGGGGCACTCTGGACTTACCTGGCCAGCTGCAGGTAGAGCACCGTGTTCTCGCCCTCATAGGTGCAAGAGGCCATCAGCTGGGTGACCAGGGACGGCAGGGCGCTCAGCTTGGAGTAGCCGTGTCCGCCGCAGGCCCTGCGGCACAGCTCGGCCCCGTGGGTGCAGAAGTCCGACATCATGGCCTTAGTGCCTGTGGTCAGGGCGTGCAGCTGCAGGATGAGGGGCCAGGCAGGTGAGGACCCGCAGTAAGGAGCATGCCTACCGCGCTGAGCATTTACTGCCCGAGAGCCGCTCTGTAAGGTTGGCGCTTACTCAGCTCACACCCAGAGCCACACTGAGGCACTGTGGCTGGGGTGGAACAAGAACCAAGAGACCCGGCCCAGCCAGTCCCCTGACCTTCCAGAGAGAGCACTGCCTGGATGGGGCCCGCAGTCCCCCAGGAGTTATGTGGTTGGCCAGCGAGCAGAGGTCTTGGGAAGCTGGCCCGGAGGACAGCGCCCCACACCAGTCAGCCCCCTTGGGAGTTTGGGATGGTGATGGTGCCACGGCCTGACTGTGTCCACCCAAAGTTCCTGAGTTGAAATCCTAACCTGCAAAGGGATGCTGGGGCCCTCGGGAGGTGATGGGTCAGGGGCGAAACCTTCACAAGCAGGACTGTGGGTGCTGTGCTGAAAGCTCAGGCTGAAGCCTGCTGCTCACTATTAGCAGGTGTCACCGTAACTCATGGGGGGGATCAGTGCTGCTCCTGGGAGTCAACCCCCAGTGCTTTCTCGATGCTCCCTTCTTGCCTGTGATGCCCTCTGCCAGCTCACAAGGCAAGAAGGCCCTGCCCAGACGGTGGAACTTTGCTGGAGGCTGGGAAGTCTCCAGAGCTGTGAGAAATTAATTTGTTTTTCTTTTTTTGGTACCGGGGATTGAACTCGGGTCCTTGCACCTGCAAGGCAGGCGGTGGAACCACTGAGCTAAATTCCCGGCCCAGCTGGTTTTTGTTTTTTAACACAGGGTCTCACTATGTAGCTCAGGCTGGCATTGAACTCACAGTGATCCTCCTGCCTCAGCCTCCTGAGTGCTGGGATGACAGGCATGTCCACCAGGCCAAGCTTGTGTTTATAACCCACCTAGTTAACCTATTTTGTTATAGCAGCTGAACAGACTAAGGCAGGGGTTGCCAGGCAGCAAGCCTGGTTTGAGTTTTTGGTTCTTGAAAGCCCCTATCCATCCTTCTGACTTTTGAGTCCTTAGAAGACAGAAAAAAGAAAATGGTGGGGTGGTGACCAATAGCAAAAATCAACAGGCTAGAAAGCAGTCCACTGAGAAGTTTAAACTCAGGCCAGGAGGGACCCAGGCCCCATTTCCTAGGGTGAGAACAGGCCGGGTTATGGGTCCTAGAAGGAAAGCACTCCTTCACAACTGCAGAGAAACATTTTCCCCGTTTCTAGACTCATTTCTGTTTTTCCTTTCTTCTTACTCCTTTTTCCCCTTATTTTTTTATTCTCTATATTATTTACTTTTTCCTCCCTTTTTTCTTTTACCTTCTATTTCTTGTTTTTTGTTGTTGTTGTTGTTACTTTTATCTAGTTCTGTAAATATCCTTCTACTCCAAACAGGACCTTTATCTCACTGTTCTCTCCTCCTTTTCGTCTCCCATTGTTCAATTTTTCAGATGTTTGCATTCTCCCATTCCATCCCCCCATATCTTTGATAATATGACATTAACCTTCAATAATCTTTAGACAGTTAATTCTATGTTACCAGTTGAATTCTTTTCTGTCTTTAGTGGAGGTATAGTTAATTGCATTTAGTAGATACGTGCTGTATGTCAATACTTGGTTTGTCTTAGGGTTTTGTTGTTGTTGTTTTGCTTTATCTTGATTTAAATTTTTTGTCTTGGGGTTTATACCACAAGTTAAGGGTGGTACCTTTTTGATTCTTATGGTGTGTCCATACTAGGTTGTCTTGGATGATGCCACTGTTGCTGACTTACTTGATATTTCCAGGGTGGAATTGCTATGAATAGGTTTTCTCTGTATGCCAATGCCCTTGTGACCTCTGTGTCATTAACAACGCTGTGGTCCCATCCCTGGGTGCTGGGCCAATTACACCGCATCCCCTCTCATTAACAGAGGGGGCGGACGGGGTCTTGGGGGGGCAGAGGATTCAGTTACCACGCCCTCCGTGTCCCTGAAAAGCAGACGACTGAAGACATCTGTAGTAGCAGCAGAGTCTTTCCACTGTACGTGCCCACAAACCTGAGCACGAAACACACAGAAAACACCAGAAACATGAGAAGACAAGGGAACAAAGTGCCTCCCGAAACTCCTAACTCCCCCAGAGCCCATCCATTGGGCACCGAGGGGGAAGAAAGCGAAAGTCACGCTGAGTGATGTGAAAGAGCAGAGGTTAAAAATCAGATCAATGAGGTGCTTTGTGGGCGCACAGAAAATATAACTAATCAGATAAAGGAGGATGTAATAAGCAAGGCCTTCACCTTTTTGTGCCTCAGTAGTCTCATCTGTAAAATGGGGATATAATCCGCACCTGGTGTGCAGTTGACAGGATTGACCGAGCAATGCTTTTGACGTGTAGGCCTGGCAGAGGGGCCTCAGTGTGTAATGTCAGTCTGTATGTAGCTTTATCTGAGGCCTGTGAGCCCAACGTGCTTTGGACTCAGAATGGCTTTTGGATCTCAGAAAGGCAAAGCAGGGCATTAGCCTATCATATGTAATACCCACAGTGGGCTTTGGGGAGGACTTAGGGAGCATATTAATATTTCTGTTGTATCTGTGCTCAGTAGAATCAGTCAGATCGAGTCAGGCTAGGTTACACTGTGCTACACAGTGAGTTCCACATGAGATGTGCTTTTCAGAGCTTTCTGGGTCTCAAGTACACATCAGGGATTGTGGCTGTGAGCTCTCTGTACTGCAGTAAGTACCTTCGCTAACACTGCGGCACTCTCTGGGGCCAGGTGTGGGCAGCCTCCGTGTCAGGGGCCAGGTCACCGCTGCCCTGGGAACTCGCCAGAAGGCTGAGGAGAGGGCCCAGTGGCTAGAGTCATCTTGGCCACCCTGTGGCAGCCGCTCCCCAGGAGACCACCAGTACCTCGGGCAGGAGGCTGATGTCTTTGTTCAGAATGTTGACGTAGGAATTCTGGAAGAACTCCCGGAGGCTGGCCAGCTGGAAATGGAAGGCGTAACTCATGGCCAGGGGCAGAAAGAGTTTCTGTTGCTGGGTCTGGTAGTCCAAGATTTTTGTCTCTGGGTCACTAAGAGGAAAAGAAGCAGAGGATTTGGAAGACTGCTATGTGCCACGTCCACCTTCTCATACCCCCAACACATAAAAGCTCTGAATCTTGGAAGTTCCTTAGAACTCCTTACAGAGGTAGCACGAGGCTACTAATAATCTTCTGAAGTCTTTTTGTTTGTTTGCTTGTTTTGTTTTTCTGAGGCAGGGTCTTGCTGTGTAGTTCAGGCTGGCCTTGAACTCACTGTGTAGCCCAGTCTGGCCTTGAACTCACAGTGATCCTCCTGGCTCAGCCTCAGGAGTGCTGGGATCACAGGTGTGTGTCACCAGGATTGACCTAAAGTCTTATCTAACATGAACATCCAAACGTTTCACTGCAGAAATATCAGCATGCTTCCTTGTAGGTGCTGCCTCTTGCGGAGACGATTACAAAATTACAGCATGTATTATCCTAAAATCTGAAATGTTCTGAAGTCTGACACATCTGGACCCCAGGATTGGGTGAAGGGTGGTGGCCCTGCACCCCTGAGGATTTGCGCCCACACACTGGCTGTGTGGTAGGCTTGTCACCTGTACAACTCGGCCCAGGGAACCCAAGGAGGGGACATGTCTGCCTTGTCCACCACTGTCCTCGCTGCCCAGGACTGTGTCAAGATGCAGAAACTAGGGGCTGAACGGGGTGTGGCTGCGAGAAGCTTCCAGGGCCGATGGGACCTGGGGCCTTTCTGGGTGCAGCTCCTCACCCGCCCAGCGTGGGGTTCCTGTCCCATCCTCAGGACGGCTCTGCTACCCAGACAGGGGTTGCAGCAGGGCAGCAGTGGCACCTTCCCCCCAGTGCCAGACACCGACAGATACAGGCTGCTGGTGTGGGAGCAGAGAGGCACCCCAGCCCTCATGCCCAAGGCAGACCAGATCTGGGCAGGGGTGTGTCGCAGCAGCCACTGTGGCACTGGCAAAGGTCTGTCAGGGAGCAGGCACCAGGGGCTGAGCCCTAGCCACGTCTGCTGTGATCAGCGCCAGGGCGCCCCTCACCTTACCTGGGCCGGAGCCGGGACTGGCGGCGGATGACGGAGTAGCGTGTGGCGATGACACAGGCCTTCTGCAGGGCGGGCAGGACCCCGTTTACCAGGATGTCCACGCGTGCCACCACCATGGACAGGTAGTTGTTCTGCGCTATCCCGAATCTGATGTAGGTGCCATCTGGCAAGACCTGTGCACACAAGGACAGGCTCTGGGCTGGGGCTGGCGCTGAAGTCCCCATCCGGCCACATCCCCAGCGGGGGCTCCACGCTCTGTGCTCCTCCTGCTCCTCCGGAGACCGCAGGTGTGGCTGCAGTAGGCATTAAAACGTGAGCCACTCCACTGCTGTACCTTGCCAGGTCCCCAAGTGTCCTGGGTTCCTGCTGCTCTGCTGCAAGGCCCTCAACTTCCCCTTGAGCTACAGCCAAAGGGGAAAGCCCAGCACAGTGGTGGGGCCCAGGCGCGTTGCCCTTGGCCCCATCTCCTCCAGGGATTGCCAGCCACACTTGCTCTCCCATCCCAGGTGATGGCGTTTCCACAGGAAAAGTCTGAGTCTCAGAGCGGCAAAGCGACATCCCAACGTCACACTGCTCCGAAGCTGGGCTTCTGCTCTGCTCTGTGGGACACCACAGCCTTTCTGGGAGTTGTGACCCACACTCAGGTACACGGAGGAGGCCCCAGAGAAGGTGGCAGCCCAGGCAAAGTCCCTGCCTGCTGTCCAGGCCCTGACCTGTGCAAAGCGATTCAGCATGTTCTCCCTAGGGACCCGCACGTGGTCCAGGCGCAGGAAGCCATTGTCCGCGTTCTCAAGGTCCATGTTGGGCCCGATGTTTCCAGCGGCGATTCCTGGAAGGAGACGGAGCTGAGAGTGCCTGTCAGGCGAGGCCTGCTGTCGCCAGGTACCACAGCAGCTTGGGACCTTGGGTGCACCGCAGGTGAGCAAGCTGAGGTCAGAAGATGCTGCGTCTCATCCAAGGTCACCTGGCCGATCAGCACATCTGTCCAACTGGAGCCCGCCCTCGTGGCCCACGGGAGACCCAACTCCACTTCTCCATGGGCTTCTGGGCCTCGGGACCTTCTCCCATGGGTCGCTGAGGGAGAATTGTGGCTTACCTGGCAGCAGGCTGTGGTCCCGGAGGCTTCGGATGGGCACCATAAAGCCGTGTATGCCCTGCCTGGCTCCTGAGCAGACCAGCTGTGCCATCACGAGGGCGTGGGTGGCCGACCGTCCCACTGAAGGCAGACAGATGAGAGCCCATCACAGAACGGCCAATGACTACTGTCCCCAACCCAGACTCCAGGCCTGGGGCTTCCTGAGGGGCAACTCTGAGGCCTCAGACAGTCACTGGCAGCAGACAGGACTGGCCCCCAAATGACCAGACAAAATGAACAGCAACTTGGCAAAGGAACTATGAAATGAGCAAAGTTTTAATGGATTTTGCCCCTTACCCAAACTATTAATGACAGACTCTGCCATCAACCTCGTAATAATGAATACAGGCAATACCATCTATCAAAGCCCCGGTGGCCCCCGTACCTGTGCTGATGTTTTCCAGTTCTCACAAGGCAGGAGTGAGAAGTCTCATTTTCCAGACAAGGAAACTGAGGCTCAGAAAGAGGAATGACATGCTGGTCACCCACGTAGAGGCGGCAGATTTGAACTCTGGTCAGCCTGCTAAAGGCTGTTTCTTTTCACCAGTTTTGATCCTGCCTGCCTGTCTGTCAGTCTGTCGATCTGTCTCTCTACCTGGCTCCTTCCTTCCCTCTCCCTCTCTCTTCTTCCTCTCTCCTCTTTCCTCTCTTCTTGACCTCTTTGCCCCCTTCTTCTGCTCTAATTGGGTTCCTTGCATTTGCTGTATTTGTTTTCCACACTGGAATTCACTGAGTTCCCAGCTGCCACTGATGTGTTCTCAGAAGGGAGTTCTCCAGCCCGAGGACCGGGGCTTGGTGACTCTCTTCTCCGAGCCTCAGAGATGCGTGGTGTGACTGCCACCTGGTGGCCGTCCGGTGATAGCTGGTGGTGGAAACCAAGGGCCGTGAGCAGGGAGGGATTCCTTCTCACTGACTGCAATCACAGCACCGTGCCCGGTGAGTGGCGGCTTGGTCATTAACTGGGGAGATGAGATGAGACCCTGGGGCTGTGGGGATGCCTGGGACCGGCCAGGTGTGTGTGCCTGTCTGTGGGGCAGCACGTGCCTAAGGTCGGGTCAATTCCCTTTTCTATTCCACAGTTCCTTGGGGACCTCCCAGCCACCCACCAGTGAAATTCTCGACATCTCACCGATTTCAGGGAGGTGAACTGACATGCCCAGGGTGACCAGCTGAGAAAGGAAGTCACCCTGAGACCTGCTGGCACCAGACCCAGGGCTGCTCAGCCCCCCGCTGTCTGCTCCTTGGGCAGAGACAGGGAAGGGGCCCTGGCAGATCGATACTCACGGTCTCCAGGCCACCACTTGGTGGCAGTCATCGTGGGGCTGTGTATCACAAACTCCTGGGTGGCTGCATCATAGGTGGCTTCAGTCTCCAGGCCCTGAAGGTATGTCCCTTGAGATCACGGAGGGGAGTCAGCATTTGACCAAGGTGGGGCCTGGCCTCTGAGGCGCCAGCCGTGTGGAGCAGGGGCCAGTGCTCCCCTGCACACGCCTGCGTGTTTTTCTCCTTTCATCTGTGGGCCGTGTGGGATGCACATCACGCATGCTGGTGGCTCGGGAAGGAGGAACTTGCCCCACAGGTAGCTCATACAATGTATTTGTGCAAATTAGAAAAAGATGCCCTTTCCTCAAGACCCCTAACTGCGACTTGCTGGAATGTTTTCACAGGGCTGGGGATTTAGCTCAGTGGCACCTAGCCTGCCTGGCAAGTGCAAGGTCTTGAGTTCGATCCCCGGTACTGGGAAAAAATAAAATAGAATGTTTGCAGATTAAATATACGAATCTGTAGGATGTGAAAGGGCCCTCTGGAGTTGTGCAGTGTACAACCCGAACACTGTGTGCAGCCCCCCCCCCCCCCCGGCTCACCGTGTCCCAGTTCCGTCTGCGCGAAAGTTACGATGATCCGGTACGTTTCCGAGAGTGGGGCCCATTTGGCGATCTGCTCCTCTGAGCCCAGGCTCCTGATGGCTTTCGTGGCAATATCGTGCACATTGAAAGTCACATCCCCAGAGATGGCTCTGTGGGAGACAGAGCCTCCTCAGCCTAGGAGCTGAGGGCCTGGTGCCCTGAGCCTGGGGGTGCTGGAGGGAAGCCCCCCACACCCGGGCCCCTGTCTCCTGTGAGGACCGCCTGGGGGACAGGCTGGGGCTGGGCGTCCGCAGTGAGCCCGCCAGCTGCTCTGGAGGGCCGCCTGGGAGCACCTGAAGGCATAATGGTGCTGGAGCCCATCCTTCGGCCAGCCCAGGCGCTGTGCCATCCTGTGCAGCAGGACTCTCTTCCGGATGGCGGCCTCGTATCGCTCATTCGGCGTCATGAAATAATTGTTGATGAGGCTGAACGCCGGGTCATCTTGGAAGAGGCTTTCTGTAGGGGACAGAGAACTCCAGCGGGCTTCCTCACTTTCACACTTTCCCACCCGCCCGTCCCCCGGACCTGGACAGGCAGTCAGTGTAACTGTCGTTGTACAGAGGAGACCACGGAGGCCTCAGGTGGGAACTGTGACCAGTGGCAGAATTAGGATCAGCATCCAGCTCTGCTGCTGCCTAGGACTCTTCTGTCCCTCAGATGGACTCAGGCAACAGGGGTCTGTTAATAGCATGTTCACGTCCACAGGAACGAATCTCTAACAGCGGATTTTCAAGGGCAAATTATTTGAGGGTGGGAGTGCTAAGAAAGTCCTCTTCTAAGAAAACCTGTGGGAGCGAGGCATGGTGGTGCACAGCCATATTCCCCATGTTGGGGAGGGTGGGGCAGGGGGATCACGGCTTCCAGCCCAAGCAGGGCAATTGAACAACTTAGCAAGATCCTGACTCAAAATAAAAAATTTAAAAACCGGGGCCGGAGAGTTAGCTCAGTGGCACCGCGCCTGCCTGGAAAGCATAAGGTCCGAAGTTCTATCCCCGGTTTCGCAAAAAAAAGAAAAAGAAGAAGAAAAGAAGAAGAAGAGGAAGAAGAAAGGGCTGAGGATGTAGCTCGGTTCAAAGGCCCCGAGTTCAATTCCTAGAACTTAAGAAAAGAAAGCAACTAAGGAAGGAAGAGAGAGAGACAGGGAGGGAGAAGGAAGTGTGGGCACGAGGCATAAGCGTCCTCACCGACTTCCCTCCGCAGCGCAGTGTTCCGGGCGCCCCCGTCCAGGAGGTGGGTGAGGCGCTCCACGTCCAGGGCTCGCCCTCGCCTCTCGCTTTCTAAGTCAGGGTGCACTCGCCGGCTCCAGGCGTCCCCCAGCGACACTCGGTGCGCGCGGCCGCCCATGTCCCTGCTGCGGGAGGAGAGGCGCTCCAGCCGGGCCTGCTCCGGGCCTGCTCCGGGCCTGCTCCGAGCCAGCGAGCGAGCGAGCGCCGGCAGGGGACGCGGGCGTCTGTGGGGCCAGCGGGAGCGGCTGCCCTCCTGCCTGCGCCCGCCCCGCCCCGCGCGGCCGACGCCCAGTGGCCCTGCCCCGGCCAGGAGGGCACTTGGGGAAGCCCTCGGGGGAAGTCAAGGACGCGCGCGGAGCAAACAGCCTCTGGCTGGAAGTAAACAGCTGAGACCCCAGGTCGGACGGGCCTGACCGCTGGTCACCGGCTCCCACTCCTGGGCTCTCACCCCGCCACCCACCGTGAGTCCCCGCGCACCCCGGGGCGCCGTGACCCCTGCGTCCCCGGCCTGTGCCTGTTGGCAGCTCGCGGCCGCCCGCTGCCCTTTGCCCCTGCGGTTCTCTGTGACCCAGCCGCAGCTCCCGGGGACGCCCAGCTCTAGGCGGCCCTGACGGAGGGGACCTGAAGGTCGGCGCCCTTCTGGTGGTGATCAAGGCCGGGGACAAGCCCTCCCTTAGCCGCAGGTCCCCGCCCCAAGCCCAGACACCTGGGAGGGAGCGCGTCCCTCGCTGGCGGGCGTGCGCTGGGCGAGCTGTGACTTGGCCTGCAGGCCGCTGGCTTGCTCAGCCCCTTATCTTCCTCTCCTTGACCCGAGGACGCGCTGGTCAGTCTGTCTGCGGGCTGCCTCTCTGCCTCCCTGCCTCTCTCTCTCCTTCCTTCCTTCCTCTCCCTGTCTCTGCCTGTGTCTGTCATCCCCCTCCCTTTCCCTCTCCCCTCTGTACTTATTATTATTATTTGTTTTTCCTTCTGTTTTTCTGGGTTTTGAAGCACCCATCAATTCTTTTAGCCTGTACTCTTTTTTTTACCGGGGATCGAACTCAGGTCCTTGAGCTTGCGCAGCAGGCGGCGAAACCACTGAGTTAAATCCCCAGCCCTTCCTATTATCTTTCATTTTGTTCTTTATTTATACTTTGGGTTTCTCACATAGGGAAACTATATGACATTTATTTTATTTTATTTTTTTGGTACCGGGGATCGAGTTCGGGTCCTTGCGCTTGCAGGGCATGCAGCATAATCACTGAGCAAAATCTCCGGCCCCCTATATGACATTTAAGCTAGGATGTCTGATTTATGGTCTCAAAGTGCATCGTTTTTCTACAAAAGAATCAAGTTTATCTTTCCTTATGGAAGAGTAGTACTCTTTTGTGTGTAAACACCACTTTTTTTTTAATCCATTCATCTGTTTAGGGATACATAGGCCACTCCCAACATTTAGCTACTATGAATTGTGCTGCTATAAACACGGGTGTGCATGTATCACTGTAATATGATACCTTCAACTCTTTCGTGAAGATATTTAGAAGGGGAACAGCTGGGTCAAATGGGATTTCTAGTTTCAGTTTTTTGAGGAATCTCCCTAGTGATTGTTCTAGTTCATATTCCCACCAATGTAGAAGAGTTCCTTTTTCCCTGCAGCCTTTGCAGTATTTGTTACTAATTGATTTTTTGATGGTGATCATTCTTTCTGGGGTAAAATAGAATCTCAGAGTTGTTTTAATTTGCATTTCTCTAATTGCCAGCAATGTCAAACATTTTTTCGTGTATTTATTGGACATTTGTACATCTTCTGTGAAGTGTCTATTCATTTTGCTTGCCCATTTTTCATCTTTTATTTTATTTCAGTTCTTTATTTTTCCCCATTCAGTTTATTGGTACATTTTAGGTATAAAATACAGTTATAGTCATCATTGGGATCTTATTCCTTTACGTGAGTATCTTGGTTCTTATTTTTTTCCCCTTCCCCTGCCCTCCCTTCACCCCCTCCACCCTTCCCTATTTGCAGACTTTGTTTCCATATGTGTGCCCATTTTTGCTTGAGTTTTTTTATTCTGGGGGAGAGTCTAATATTTTTGAGTTCCTTAGGTATTCCACATATGAATCCTCTGACTGAGGAATAGGTGACAAAATTTTTCTCTCATTCTGTAGGTTGTCTTTTCACTCTGTTGGTTGTTTCTCTTGCTGTGATATGATTTCATTTGGTTTTTGTCAAAGGCCTTTTCTGTGTCTATTGAGATGATCATGTGATTTTTTTTGTACTTGCTTCTGTTTATCTGATGTATACAGGTATTGGTTTGTCTGTGTTGAACTATCCTTGCATCCCTGGGATTGCAGCCTACTTAGTCATGAGGTATGATCTTTTTTTTTTGTACCAGGGATCAAACTCACCACCTTGCGCATGTGAGGCAGGTGTGATGCTGCTGAGCTAAATCCCCAGCCTGTGAAGTATGATCTTTTTGATGATTCATTGGATTCTGTTTGCCAGTATCTTGTTAAGGATTTTTGCATCTATATTAATTAAAGAGAATGGTCTATAGTTCCCCTTTTTTGGGTGGATATTTGTCTGGTTTTAAAATTGGGGTAATGGTGGCTCCCAGGAATGACTTTGCAAGTACTGCTTCCCTTTCAATTTTATTTAAAATCTGGAGAAGTATTGGTGTCTGACAATAGCTAAGCATCTTTACTATGTCATGCCCTCTGATGATGATGTTTCTGCCTTGGAGCCAGGTGACCATGGACTGAATCCTTGAAACAGTGAGCCAAATGAAATCTCTCCTCCTTTAAGTTGTGGGTGTCATGTCCCAATAACAGAGAAGCTGACTAATGCAGAAAGCTAGTATTAGAGAAGTGAGGCCTTGGCTGTGTCTATTCAAAACCATATGGTTTGGAAGTCTTTTGAACTGGTTTGTGGGAGGACTTTGAAAAAGTTTGGACATGCAGGCTAGAGAAGCCTTAGAATGCTGGAAGCAGAGCCTGGTAAGTCATTCTGGTTAGCGATCAGAAGACTGGAATGCTGATAGGAATTTTGTTTGTTTGTTTTGCTTTTTTTGAGACAAGGTCTGATATCTGCTACAGGCTAGCCTTGAACTCACTATGTAACCCAGGCTGGCCTTGAACTCAGTGGCCGTCCTCCTTTTCTCTGCCTCCCAAGTGCTGGGATTACAGGCCTGTGCCACCATAACCAGCTAGGAATGTGGACAGTAAAGACCAGGCTCGGAAGGTTCCAGTTGGGAGCAGGGACTCCATTGGTAATTGGACTGGAGGCCATGTGTGTTACACTCTGGAAAAAGAGTTTTTCTCCATTTTCTCCAGGTCCTGAGACCATGGGAGACTAAAATCAAGAGCTACAGACTAATTGATCTGCTGAAGGAAATTTCAATGAAGCCTAATATTCAGGGTGTGGCATGTGTTGGCTGTGTTTAGCCATATTTATAGTGAGAATCAGGGGCAAAAGCCAGAGCAGAAAACATTGTAAAACTTAAATTTTGGCTCAGAAGAAAGCCTGTGTAAAATTGGAGCCTAAGGAGTTGTGGCTGCTGAAGAGATTAGTGCCATTAAAAAGGAGCCACATACTTTGTACAGGGACCAGAAGAAAGATGCTTCGAAGGCTTCTCAGAAATCAGCAAGACCCCACCCACCCCAGGCTCAGAGGTATAAAGGTGTCAGCCTTGCTTTTGCAGAGTCCTTGGGATCCCAGCTGCAGAAGGGCTCCCTTAGGTATTGGTTCCCTGGGGTTCATTTCACTATGCCCCGCCATCCAGGCGCTTAGTGGCTGCCCCCATGCTGGTTGCAGACCTTGGCCTTATCCACGTGCAGCTGATTTTACCAGCTTGCAGAATGCAAGAGTGTGGGATTAGGGAAGCTGCCACCCATATTTCAAAGGAAGGTCTAAGAGGCCAGGCAAGGAGCCCCTGCAAGGACAGTGTGTGAGGCCATGGTAATGAAGCCAGGTGTGCAGGGGAGACCAAAGTTGCAGGAAATCATGTTGTCAGGAACATGGAATATCTTCCAAGGAAAGCGTCAGGCAGTGGGTAGAGCCAGCCATAGGGCTCTGGCTCCCCAAGTGCTTTGGGACTCACATTTTACCACTGTCTGCCCCAGATGTCAGATAGGGAGCTATAGGACTTTCTGCTTGTCTTGCTCAGTTTTAGTTTTGCTTTGGTTCAATTCTTTTTTTAGCCTCTCTTTAGGATGTGCCATTGTACCTTGGGATTATGTACTGTAACTTGTTTTTGATTTTTACAGAGGTTCACAGCTGAAGTTTGCTGTATCAGAAGAGATTTTGGTCTTTTGATAAGTACTGGAACTATTGAGACTTTGGGGAAAGGATTATTTCATTTTTGGTCACACAAAGTAGTTGTATCATATTAGGCAGAATTATGACCTTGTGTTTATTTGGGGATTAGGTATGGTTTAAGAAAATATGTTTGACTTTAGGGGAGAAGATTTTGTTCCAGAAATCTCGGAAAGAAATACATGGAGACGCAGAATTCGGGTAGAATAATAAACTTTCTACTCGGGCACGGTCGGGAATGCCAGAAACCTGTCTGGTTAGTATCTGCCCCCTTTGTTCAGCGTATTTCTATTTATATCCTTATTAGCCATTATTTCATCCCTAGTGGTCTTTGATGTATAAATACAATTCCAGTTCCTGTTTACAAGTCACAGACACAAGATAGGCACATATACATTGTAAATTCACCCTGGCATTGCAACTTTGTTAGGTTAATGAAGTTATTGGTTAAAGAGTCAGATTACCTTCACTTTAAACAAGGAGAATTATGGGAAAAGCAAATATTAAAAGAACACATTACTTATTTTGTTTTTACAACTACCTTAATATTCACTCTATTAAGTTAATTAAGTTACCTATCATTCCTCCCTCTGTTTACTTTGGGATAATTCTTTTATCCGTTATAAGTTCTATTCAGTTTATCTATATTTCTTAACACTAGCATTTGGTCGTGTTGAGCTGTAGCATTGTGCTACTGTTTAAATTTTGAAATCCATTGGATGACACAAGGACCAAACATTAATATTAATATTATAACAAGAAGGGGACTCAGAAGAGGTCCTATCCAAGTTTTTTTATCCTGCCCAAGTGAAATTAATCCCATAGGACAGTTCTCCTATACCAAATTTTTCATCAAGAGCCTTGATCTGATCTTTTAGTTTGTCTAGTGATGTTTGTACTACAC